TTTCTATTATGTTGTTTGATTTCTGTCATACATATGGGTTGTGTCACATTTTCCAGCTTGTACATTTCTAATTATTAATATTACAAAATCTAGCTCACAAACAAAAACAAGTACTTAAATGTATTTATAATAAAGATAATTACTGATATAATGTGTATGGACAGTCCCTGATTATGGTGGCTCAACTTGGATTTTTCCATTTTACAATGGATTTATAAGGGTACAAAATGCCTTTTCAACTTCTTACATTTTCTACTTATAATGATTTTATTAGGACATAACCCAATAATGTGTTGAGGAGCATTTGTATAATGTGAAATAGGTGAATACAAAACAAATATTTAAATGAATAAATTTTGTCTGGTTTTTATTTTCTTCTTTTAAAGAGTAGACTCTGGTTAAGAAAGCTGTTGATTAAAATCAATTTTATTCTTTTAAAGAAGCTCATAATCTCTTTCTAAACATTATAATAAAATATTTATTGTGGTAATTTGTGGAAACCTTTAACTGTAGTGGTAAACACTACTTTTAAATTCAAGGCCAAGCTTAAAATAAAGGGGTTGCAATTATGGGTTTTATCACAACAATATAGAGTATGGTTCTGATGACTGTCTTGAAAGCCCTAAAAGATTAAGGAAAATGTTGCACTCTGCCTAATCAGAACTCAAATATTTTCCAGTCCTCTGGGAATGTTAGAGACTGGTTAGCTCACAGCTCCCTGGCTTCTTTGCTCAATAACATGGAATTCCATGGTATACACACACATTTCAGTATTCAGCAAAGATATAAGGAGACTACTTGAATATTTCTGGACTCTTTCTGTGTGGGACCCTACCATCCAGAACTCTGCTCCTCTACTTCCAACTGTAGCAGCCTCCATGAACTGTATTACCTCATTCAAACCAAACTACCATATAGTGCTTGGGATTACTATCTGTACTCCCTGTGCAAAAATTTCTTTTGGTAGAAAGTCAAATGGTTTCTGATCTCTTATCACTTACTTGCCTTTACTTTTTCTCAGGAATAATCACAGTACTATGTTGCCTTTTCTACAAGGTCTAAAATTTAAAACTATTTTATTTATTTCTCTAGCTTCCTTCTTTCTTCTTCTACTTCCCACCCCCCCCCCATCCTTTTTTTTAAGGAGAGAAAAGTTGTCCTTACCATGGTAGGAAGTAAGTTTTATTTCAGTAATTTTAATTTGTGAAAATTTCTTAAATTAACTTGATGGGTTAATTTTGGTAAACAGTTTGGTACCTAGAAACTGTCAATTTTGGTAAACAGTTTGGTACCTAGAAAAATAATGCACTATTACTTATTTTTAAAAATAGTACCTTTTTGGAGCTAGGGATTAAATCAAGTGTTTATATATTGCTGTAATTATCACTTCTTAAAAATCCTGTGAACTTTATTTTAGTTACATACAGTGGAATTAAAAATCTCCCACTAACACTGACTTTTTATGTTTTTTCAATTTTAATTTATTTTTGTAAAACTATGCATACAAATATGTAATTCTCTCTTGCTAGTCAATTGAAAATTTTATCATTATAAAATAATCATTTTTGGCTAGAAATGTCCCTTTGCTATCCATTGATATTTTACTTTCTGCTATTATATTATATTCTAAAATTTTATTTTTTCTTTTAACATATATATACTAGTTTTTCACAATTTTCAGATATTTTATTATAGTTATAATTAATATTATGTTATTAATAAAATTTATATATTTATAATCCTCACCTAATTTGCTTAAGATTAATTTTTCCTCATATTTTTATAAGTTTTATGGATCTTCTAAAATCTAATTCCATTAATAGATTGCTCTACACCCAGTTTATACCTTTGTGTAGTAATATGCTTCTTTCTGTCAGTTAATCTTAGATAACTAAAACTCTAGACTGTTCTTTTTCTGAAATGTTAATTTAATTTAGATTTAAATTTGAATCATAATTCTAACTTAGAAAAATTTTCAAACACATCTTAGATATGATCTCCATTGATTTATTTTCTTGTTTTCCTTCCTCCCTTCCCCCACATCTTTATTGCCTAGGCAGGGCAATCAAAGTTTTCTGGGGTTTTTTGATTTTTTTCCATAGATTATATTTATTTTATAGTTATCTTTTTTATAACAGCATATTCCATAATAATTTCAGATTATTGTGAGGATCTCAGCAACAACTCTGATCTCATGAAGGCTGGAGTCTAGGCTCTTGTCTCTGTTTGTGTTTTACTCAATTATTGTTCTTCAATTTTCTTGTTCATTATTGTATCCATAAATTTAACCAGTTTATGGTGAGTTTGGCTATAAATTCAAAAGTAATGATTGTCACTATAGTCAAAAGGTTTTCATAAGTTACTACCCTAAATATATAAATTAAATTGTACTGTGATGTTAAGAAAGAGATTATACTTTTAATAAAATTGTTCAGAGCATATTAAATTTTATTTATCTGCTATAGATAGGCATATCAAATATGATTCCAGATGCATTTGATAGAAACACTTTACCCTCTTTTTTCTATAAACCTTAATAGTTTTTATATTGTCTCCTTAAGGTTATGGATAAAAATGTTTAGATTCCATTGTCTTTAGGTGGAGCTCAGAGAAAGTGTTTTAACACAAGAATTCCCAGATTTAAAGTAAGATTTTGGTACTTTTTAATTATCTTTCCTTGGGCGATTCAATGAAAATTTTGAAATTTTGTTATTCATATATACAATATAAAATAAGTCTTTTCTTTTAAGCATTGTTATGAGAAAAGAATGCAAACATGTACAAAGTAACTACAGAGTACTTGAATAAAGTATAATTATTGGATATACATGCCATCCCATTCTTGGGGTAGGTAAATTTAAACAATGACAAATGCTTTGAAGCTAACCCCTTGAACATCAGAAATGAAATTTAGAGTTGAGATTATGAGTGTATGAGTGAAAATAACTGACAGGAATATAGAAACATTTTTAATTGTATATAGATGATTACATATCAATTCACTCCTGCATCAATTCCATCTCAAGTCCATTCATTCTTAATATTTATTTTAACATTTTAGGTCTAGAAATTTGGTAAGTATTTGATTAAATTTAATATCTTTAGAATAGTAAAAATAACCTTGTAAATCAATATTGGTTTCTTTATATAAATGAAACACAAAAACAACCAAATCTTTCCATTCATCTTAGAAGCTATTAAATAAATGTACAGTCTAAGTCTGTTTCTATAGTGGGAAATATTACCTTTTCAAAGTTATTTGTCTAAAGAATGCTGTAAAAGCAATACAATATAATAGCATTTTATTTAACATATAAGAATTTATATATGAATATAGTATATAGTGTTCACTTGATAGGAATAGATACAGTATAAGAATATGTTATAATAATGTGAGAAAATTAAAATGTGAGAAAATTAAAATTAAAATAGGCCTATAGATAATTTTCAGTATCTTGCATTTGTTTTTATTTATTTATTTATTTATTTATTTATTTTATTTCAGCATATTATAGGGTTATAAATGTTAAGGTTTAAAAAAATGCCCTTGCCCCCTCCTCCCCCCACAAGTCTGAGCTTCAAGAGTGACCATCCCCCATACGATGCACATCTCACTCATTACGTATGTATATACCCACCCCCCTCCCAACACCCAATTAATGTAGTTCCTATGTGTCCACTTAGGTGCTGCTCAGTTAATACCAGTTTGCTGGTGAGTATATGTGGTGCTTGTTTTTCCATTCTTGGGACACTTCACTTAGTAGTATGGGTTCCAGCTGTATCCAGGAAAATACAAGATGTGCTATATCACTGTTATTTCTTAGAGATGAATAGTACTCCATGGCATACATACACCACATTTTATTAATCCACTCATGAATTGATGGGCACTTGGGTTGTTTCCACAGCTTTGCAATTATGAATCGTGCTGCTATAAACATTCGAGTGTAGGTGTCTTTTTTGTAGAGTGTCATTGGATCTTTTGGGTAGATGCCTAGTAATGGGATTGCTGGATAAAATGGTGCATCCACTTGTATCACTTTAAGGTATCTCCATATTGCTTTCCACAGAGGTTGAACTAGTTTGCAGTCCCACACGGCAGCAACAAAAAAAATAAATGGGACATGATCAAACTAAAAAGCTTCTGCACAGCCAAAGAAATAGTCATGAAAGTAAACAGACAACCTACAGAATGGGAGAAAATTTTCGCATCCTATACATCTCATAAGGGGCTGATAACTAGAATCTACTTAGAATTCATGAAAATCAGCAAGAAAAACACCAAACAACCCTATCAAAAAGTGGGCAAAGGACATGAACAGAAACTTTTCTAAAGAAGACAGAATAATGGCTAACAAACATATGAAAAAATGCTCAACATCGCTAATCATCAGGGAAATGCAAATCAAAACTACAATGAGATATCATTTATCTCCAGTAAGAATGGCCTTTATCAAAGCATCCCAAAACAATAGATGTTGGTGTGGATGTGGAGAGATAGTATCTTGCATTTGAATGAGTGAATTCCCATTTATTGTCAGGTTAACTCTCAATTTGACTTGTTCTTTGAATATTAAAAATAAATCCCTCTTTGGTGTATAAAGTTTCTTAAAATAGCATATTCATGAAAGACATAGAACAATTTTTTTCAGAGAGAACACATATAAATAAATAAAAACATGTCAGATTATGGTAAAATAAACCTCATGGGTTTAACTATCCTGGATTATATAAGAGAATATTCCTCTGGATCTGTGAATCATGAAACTTTATGAACAAAAAGCTCCAATAATGAAGCAGACTTGGACATAGCACATGTTACCATTTTGTCCTGGTGCACTTATCACTGAATCATCGGACGTCTTGATAAGTAAGAGGCATTGAATACTGACTTTATTCAGTGTGTTGACATCTTTTTGAAGAAAGGTCAGCACCATTTTTAAGCCCACATAGTCCTTGTCACAAAGAATGTTAACTATGCTTCATGATTTCCACCTTATGGAAGAGAAATATTACAAGAATTATGCAAATTTCCACTGAAAGAGGTCTGACTGTGAGGCTGGGAGAGTGAGTAGACTTGTCCTACGTGGAAAGGAGAAGTGGAGAAACACAAAGGTAAGCCTATCGTTCCTCTGTATGGTCTGTGGTAAATCGCAAAAGGCATCCTTTACATCCTTAAAGTATAGCAGCAGAATTCACCTTCTAAAGTATACTAACTTCTTTGCTGTATTATTCCTGTCACTAACAAATGTTGTTTTTGAAAATGAAATGCATTTTTGGAATATACACTTTCTTTCAATATAAATATTAAAATGTGAATAAATATAGGTATAATTACTCTCTGTACCAGATGTTTGCTCTCCATTTTTACATTTATAAGCATGGAAACATGTTCTGTTATTCTTTATGAAGTACATATATTTTTATACCAAGCTAATTCTGTACTTTATATGCAAATCAGTAAGATTTTCTAATACAATACACACCTACTCATTTTGCTTAATCCTTAAAAGAACTTGGATTTTTCATCCTTTCTCATTAAAATCCATGAAAGGAAAATCTTTTCAATAGCTTCCACTGTGAAAGCATTTAGCTCTGAACATAATCTAGACATAGGTATGAAAAATGGATATGTGAATATTCCAAGTATGTATTGTGCTAAAATAGCCATCTGACAACCTAAATATGGAAGATATATAATATGCACTGAAAGGTAAAATAAAAGTGTAATCTTGGTCACAAAACAGATACGTCTTACAATATTAACTTCATTTTTACTGAAATAAATACTCAAGAAGTCTAAGCCTAGTCATGTGAAAGTACCAGGTCCACAAAGTGTAAAGAATTATCATAGCTTGCAATTATCAACATAAGAAGATTAAATGGCTCGGTTCCTTTCTTCCTTTTTCATATGCTGAGTTTATTTTCCTTCACAGAATTATCAGAGAACAGTACTGACAAACTTCAAAGACAATTGTAACTGGGTTTGGGATTTTCATTTTTGAGCATTATTTTACAAAATTATGATGACAGTTCTTTCTGCCAAATGTAGTATGAAAATTCAGAGACCAGTTGAGTTAGAAGACTTGACTAAAGCTTAGATTAATATGCCATCGATTATTCTGTTATTAAAAATAAATTTTTGAAGGAATTATGAAGTTATTCACAATTTGGCAAGGTAAATAATTCCAGCTAACACAAGATTCTAAATAGTTCTGAAAATAATGGTCTCTGTCATCTCCCATATAAGAACAACTGTTCTTGTTTCCCACCTTGTCTCAAATGGTATATTTGGTCTCACTCCAATATATCTGTATATCACTGTCAGATTAATCTTCTTAAGCAACTGCATTGATTATTTTGTATCTTTAGTCAAATACTTCAGTGAGTTCCTAAGAGCTTACAGAAAAAAATATATAAATTCATTTACATTATATTAAATGCTTTATCTACTGTGGTCTCAACTTCTAGGCTTATCTTTCACTGTATCTAAATTAGCCCTTTTCTCCAGGGAAGCTGACAGAGTCTCTGTTCCCTAAACTCCCATTCTCATTCTTTTAATATGTTACTTCTTCAGACAGTTCCATTCACTGGAACTGCAACTTCATTTGTCTTTATTTTAAAAATTCTATTATCATTCAAACTTACAAGAGTAATTTATATTTATTCAGATTAGGAAAATAAAGCAAATAAGTATTTTTTAAAATATGTCAGTAAATATTAAATGATAAAATTGATAATATCACTTTCTTTTTAAATTGAATGATTATAACTAAGTTACAAATTTTGTCTGACTCCTTCACATTTTTCTACATTTCTTCAAAGATGTAGTACATACTAAATGAATGCTATTTGTTATTATTACTAATTTTTGGTCATATGTCTTGAAAATATATTTCCCCAGTGTATTTTGATTAAAATGTGTGTTTCCATGAGTGTCTCTGCATGAATTCTTATTATCCTTTTTTTTTACTATCTCCTCACTATCCCAAATTACACATTTATTATCCTTAATATATTTATTATTGCATTGTGAATGTAAGGATTTAATTAATCTGGTGTATTTTTGTGTGTGTGTATGTATCTGTGATATGTGTAATATAAGAGCCTAACTTTTCCTTGAGATAGTTAATAAACTGAGGCAGAAATATTTATTAAATAGGGTGACATTTTTCTTTTGACTTGAAAAGCCAATTTGTCCTTTTTTCTTCGTGTATTTAAATTTTACTCAACCAAATTTTTAAAGCAATATATTTTATATATGCTATAAATGTATCTTTATTACTATAGTCAAAAATAATGACTAATTTAATAAAATTATAGTTAGTCAAATTTTATAATATTTGAATATTTAAGCAGTGATGTTTATCTCTCCACTTATTTTGTAGCCTTTTGTTCCAATAATGTTCCTATATTTAGTAAAATACAATTTGATTAGTGAGGGACCACTGAGAGTCAGTCTGATCATCTGCTTTCACTTCTCAATTTGGGCCACCTTGAATTTCTTAAAATAACCTTATAAATAAAATAATTGATGCTTTATTTATTTGTTTTTCTGATAATTCTTCCCAGTTTGCTTATAAAACTTTAGACAGTTTTCTCTCTCTAATCCTCAGGGAAAGGTTTTCCAAACCTTTTTCATATATGAACGCTTTTATAAGCCAGCCATAGGTCTTTTCACAGAAAATACTGAGATCATTACTTCTTTCTTTGGAAAATCTCCTGGGCCTATGACTGACTATACACCTTTCTCTATACCATTGATACCTCTTTAACTGTCCAGAGGGAGAGCTCTTTTCCATACTGTGCTCCATATTCCATCCCATATTGTATTTTAGGACTTTATACCATCAATTAATCACTTTTCACCTTTATGTTTAACCTCCTTCCCTGCTTCACTATATATTCACATTCAAATTTCTCTAATCTTAAAATAATAGAAAAGAAATTCCATTTAAAATTTTAATCGCATTCTAACTCTCATTTAATTTTATTCAGTCTCCTGATAGTCAGCAATCAATCACCATGATTGAGAAATCTACATTTACTTTCTTCCTAAGTAATTTTATGTTTCACCTATTAATGTGTCACTTTTTCTCCTGTCACTTAATTAACACATTTTTATTGAGGTTAAAAATATCCTTTTTTACTATTTCATAAACTCTTTGAGTTCCTTCCTACTCCGAACATCTAGTACAGGGAATAACACATACAGTGGTCAGTAAATATATAGTGAATGAATAAATTAATTGTAACATTTAATTTCCATTTTATAATCCTTACTTTTTCCAATGATTCTTTTTTTTCTCACACCATTGCATACTATATTCTTTAAAACTTTTTCTATTTTAAAAAATGATTTTTTTTTTCACTTTAGGAGGTACAAGTGCAGTTTTGTTAGTTACATGGGTATATTGTGTAGTAGTGAAGTCTGGGCTTTTTGTGAGACCATCATCTGAACAGTGTACATTGTACTCATTAGGTAGTCTTCTCATCCCTTATCCTCCTTCCACTTTCCCTCTTTTCTGAGTCTCCCAAGTCTTTATTTCCATGCTCTATGTTCATGTGTACACATTATTTAGCTCCTATTTATAAGTGACAACATGTGATATTTGTTTCTGAATTATTTCACCTAAGATAATAGCTTCCACTTCCATTCATGGTGCTGCAAAAGACATGATTTTATTCTTTTGTATGGCCTGAGTAGTATTCCAAGTTATATTACACACACACATCACATTTCTTTATCCAATCATCTGTTGATGGACACTTAGGTTGATTCCATATCTTTGCTATTGTGAATAATACTGTGATAAACATATGATTGCAGGTATCTTATTGATATAATGATTTATTTTCCTTTAAGTAGATAACCAATAGTGGGATTGCTGAACTGAATGTTAGTTCTATTTTTAGTTTTTGAGAGATCTCCATATTGTTTTCCACAGAGGTTTTACTAATTTACATTCCTACCAACAGTGTATAAGCATTCCCTTTTCTCAGCATCCTCGCCAATATCTATTGTTTTCTGACTTTTTAATAAAAGTTACCTTGCCTAATGTAAAATGGTATCTTATTGTGCTTTTAATTTGCATTTCTCCAATGAATAGTGATGTTGAGTATTTTTTCATATGCTTGGTGGCCATTTGTATGTCTTCTTTTGAAAAATGTTTGTACATTTCCTTTGCCTAATTTTAAATTTTTTATTTTTTAATTGTTATGCATACATAATAGTTGTATCTTTTAAATAGGATTATTTGTTTTTTTCTTGATGAGCCGTTTGTTTTCTTGTAGATTCTGTGTATTAGTCCTTTGTGAGATGTATAGTTTGTGAATGTTTTCTCCCATTTTGTAGGTTATCTGTTTATACTGTTAATTATCTATCTTGCTGTGTATAAGCTTTTTAGTTTAATATAGTCTCGTTTATCTATTTTTTATTTTTGTTATATTTGCTTTCGAGATCTTAATTATATAATATACTAGTTGCCTAGACCAATGTCCAGAAATGTTTGCCTAGATTTTCTTTGAGAATTTTTATGGTTTCAGGTATTGTATTTAAATCTTTAGTTTATCTTGACTTAATTTTTGCATATGGAGAGAGATAAGGGTGCTATTCTATTTTTCTGCATATGGCTATCACCATTTATTGAATATGTTACCCTTTCCCTAGTATATGTTTTTGTCTACTTCATTGAAAATCAGTTGGTTGTAGGTATATAGCTTTATTTCTGTGTTCTCTGTTCTATTCCCTTGATCTATGTGTCTAATTTATACCGGTGCCATGATGTTTTGGTTACTATAGCCTTGTAATACAAGTTGAAGTTAGATAATGTGATGGCTCCAGCTTTGCTCTTTTTGCTTAGGATTGCTGTGGCTATTTGAGCTCTTTATTGATACTATGCAAAATCTATGATTTTTTTTTAATTCTGTGAATAAGAATGTTGGTATTTTGAGTGGAATTGCATTGAGTCTGTAGATTTCATTGCATACTTTTTTTAACTTTTAAAAGAATTGCAAGTTTATTTTTTCAAATATTAGATAAAATGAATTATTTTATTTTTTTATTTTATATTTTAGCATATTATGGGGGTACAAGTGTTAAGGTTACATATATTGCCCATGTCTCCCCTCCCCCATCAAGTAAGAGCTTCAATCGTGTCCATCCCCCAAATGTCGCAGATCTTACTCACTGTGATTGTATATACCCATCCCCAACTCCCC